TTCAAGGCATCTCTCAAAAGCATTTACCCTACTCTTCGAACTGTTAACATATTTTACACTATCTCTAATTTTAGAGAGAGCATCATCAAAAACCTTTAAACCATCTTGCATAATTAGATTGAGGATATGTGCACAACATCTTATATGAAAGAATTCACCCTCGCACAATAAATTGTTATCCAGACAAAGTCTCTCTCTCAGAATCTCTTGCATACAATTGTTAGTTGAAGCATTATCCAAAGTAATTGTGAAGACTTTCTTCTCTATCCCCCATTCTTTCGAAAATTCATGCACCTTAATAGCTAAGGTTTCACCAGTATGCAGATGAGGCACACTACAAGAAAATTCTCGTATAGCTACAGAATTTGCGACAGAATGTTCCGTCGCATACAAAATTGCGACGGAATACGACGGTTTCGTGATAGAAATCAGAAAAAAAATTTATGTAGCAAACCGTCGTAAAATCCGTCAAAATTTTGCGACAGAATGGACGGATACGTTGCCGTCACAACAACAAACGTAATTTGCGACAAAAAATGTAAAATGTGTCAGAATTTGCGACAGGTATATCTTTAGCAACTATTTATTTTAATTATTTTATTTATTTTTTTCTGAATTTGCTACAGATTTGCGACAGAAGTTTCTGTAACAAATATTATTTTAAATTTATTTTTCAGAATTTGCGACAGAATTTGCGACGCAACTACTAATTTAATTTTTTTTTGTGTTTTCGATGAAAATTTTTAAATTTTCGCGGTTTTATTTCGGAATTTACGACAGAAATATCCCTCGCAACACTTAATAAAAGTCGCGGCTTCGTCTTCCTCCTTTAGACTTCGAAATTTTGAGAGAGAGAATCTTCTCCAATCTTCTCCAATTATTTTTTTCTTCCAAAATTTGCTCGGGTATGTATATATATATATCGTGTATATATATATATGAGTGTGAATATGTTTATATATGTATATATATATGTATGTATATGTGTGTGTATTTTGTGTGTGTGTATGTGTGTGTATTTTTCGTGTGTGTGTATATTTTTTGTATGTGTTGTTATTGTGTGTAATGTATGTATGTATTTATGTATGTGAATGTGAATATGCATGTGTATGAATGTGTTTATATGTTTGTGAATATGTATGTGTGTATATATGAATTATATGTATGTGTATATTGTGTATGTATGTGAATGTGAATATGTATGTGTGTATATTTGTATGTGTATGTATATTTATGTATATATGGATGTGAATGTGTATGTGTTTATATGTGTATGTGTATGTGTATGTGTATTTGTGTGTGGAATATGTATATGAATTTGTATGTGTGTGTATTTGATTGTTATATGTGAAATATGTATGTGTATGTATATATATATTTGTATATATGTGTATATGTATGTACATTTATGTGGGTATATATGTGTATTTATATATAATATATAAAAAAATATATATTTTTTAAATTAAAAAAATATTTGCGACGGAATTTTCTTTAACTTTTCTATCGCAAAACGCAGATTTCGTTGTCGCAATTTAGCGACGAATTAACGACCGACAAATTTTTGCGACAACGTTTTACGGACAGAAATTGTTTCGTCGCAAATTTGTAATTGTGACGGATTTTTCTGTCGCAATTTAATATGTTTCTTGTAGTGGCATATCAATAAAAGATAGGGGTGTAAAATGGGCGGGTCGGGCCGGGTTCGGGTCGAACTTAGTTCGGGCTTTAATTTTTTTGGGTCAGGTCGGCCGTCCATTTATTTTTCGGGTCTATGATCGATGACCCGGAGCCCGACCCTATAGGGCTTCGTGTGGGTTCAGGCCGGGTTTCGAGTTTTTTCTATTTAATAAAAAATAAATATTAATATATAATAATAATAATAATTTAACAATTAAAAAAAACAATAACAAATTTTCGTCTATATCGAATATAATTAAAAAAATTAAAATCTAAAAAATAATCATGTAAAATTTAAAATATATATTATATAATATTTTTAATATATATAATATATGAAAAATATATTCAGTACAATAAAAAGTATAGAAAATAGTCAAATTGCTTTGAAATATAAATATATATATAACATACAAATAAAAGTTTTTATATAATGTTATGTGGTATTAAATCTCAAATAAAAGTAAAAATCTAATAATATAATATTTTTTCGGGCTAAATGGGCGGGTCGGACGGGTTTCGGGTCGGACTCCATTCGGCCCTAACTTTTTTCGTGTCGGGCCGGCCCGCCCATTTATTTACCGAACCTATATTATTAGGCCCAAACCATTAATTTTTCGGGCGGGTTTTGGGTCGGGCTTCGGGCTTCGGGTTCTATTGACACCCCTAATAAAAAATAAGATCTTGCTGTTCAATTTCCAATTTTCATCAATATAATGCCCCGTCAAGCAAATATACCCTTCACTAGTGAAACCCGTCCAAAAATCTGAAGTCAATGATATCCTACGAGAAATTCTTTCTAAATCAGATTTCACCCTTGCTTTGAGCTTCAAATAATACTCATGAATACGAGAAATTGGTGTTTCTACCACAGAACTTGAACTCTAGAATCATATAGCTAACACACTCTCTGATACCTTCATACGCAACAAAAACGAATGGAGATCATGTAATATCATTGCTTTCGTTAACTTCTCCTCGGCGACTTTTTAATCAAACTTCTTGTCTATTTTCAAGTTTTCATCGACATCCTTAAACATGCTATTCACACTCTTAATCAATGGATTCATATAACATATTTTTGACAAATGTCTTCTTAAAGTCGTAGTTCCATGTGAATCTGACTTTTATGTATAAGCAAACTTGTAGTGATTACATGAAACATGGGTATCACTGATCCTAGTAAAGTGATTCCACACCTCATATGTAATTTTTTTTTTCTTCTCAAAGATTGACTTAGACGAATCGACTCAAGAAGCATTATGCGATTCCATATCTTCATCTGGATCCATTTATCCATATTCCATATCAATGATATCATCCATTGAATCTGATACAATCAACAACAAAAAAGCATAAAAAACATAAAATATAAAAAAAAAACATTAAGCACACAAGCAAATGAAGATAGAGGTTTACACAATAAAAATCGAACAGCAAAATCGAGCACAAAACCGAACATATCGAAAAAAAAATACGAACAAGGACAAAACACAAATAGAGAGAAGACGAGAGAACGATTCGAAGATGAGAGAGAAACAGTTACTAATCGAAGGAGGCAGCGACGGTCGAAAAGAGGTCGAGGCAAAACGGTCTATGGTGATTGATTTTGTTTCTTCTACCAAAGAGTGTTGATTTTCGATTTAGGGTTTGATAGAAAAAATAAGAAACTGAAGAAAGAAGAAGACTAGAAGAGATTAAGAGAATGTGGCGTGCGTGGAAGAGAGAAGTCTGACAAACAAAAGAGTAACTTTAGGTTAACAAATAACTCAGCCTGTGGACTGGTCCGTAGTCCATCAGGGTTGGCTCGTGATGGTTCAGCCTATTTTTATATGGACCTCTATTTACTTAACCCAACTAGATAAAAATAGGTTCAGTTCAGGGTTGGCTCGTGGGTTGTCAGCTCATTTGACATCTCTATTATTTTTGCAAACGGTTCGACTGTAGCATACACTCTCAGTATCTGAGTGGATCAGGGAATTCGAAGCACACTCCTAGTACTATAGGACACTAGGCATTCTACAAAAAACATCCTTTTCTTGTGAGGTATAGTCAAGTATAGACAAGGATGAATGTATTGTTTTCCTAATTTGGGCTTAGCAACAACAACTAAGGCTTAAAGCTTGTAATATGGATCTTGGATACTAAAATATGTACCGACAATTTTTTATTAATTCACAATGTATTACATAACAAAAAAACAAAACAAAACGAAAGGGGAATTAAAGCTAGAGATAGTCAAAATGGATCAGTTCGGGTTACACGGGATCCGGTTATAAATCCAAATGGATTAATCTATTTAGCTAATTTTTTAAAATAGGTTAAATAGTTATAGACTTATTAAATATATGAGCTAAATGAGTTAAATCATGTAACCTATGCATCTATTGCATATTTAATTAAAATTATTATACATAGATATATAAATATTAATATATATACATGTATATATATATATACATACATATATATATATTGCGAACCGAAAAAATTAATATCGAATAAAAAAATATAGTATCATTTTTTAAAAAATTTGTATCATTCTTAATAATCTCTTTATTCCCTATGAGAAACAGTATACAAAGTATAAGTTTACATATAGTTTAGAGGAGATAAAGAGAATAATAACTCAGCAAGAGATAAGGAAATGTAATATTGTTGATTACAAAGAATGGAAATGTTCTTGATTTTCTAAGTTAATCAGTTTCTCAATGATCTAAAAAATGTCAATCATTCATGCTTATATGTCACTTATGCATTAGAGATAAATATCTCAATTCTCGATCTGGTTTGGTTTTAGATTGGTTTGAACTAGTTTCGGTTTCTGGTTGGTTTGCTATATCTATCGATCGCTATTTGTTCTTCAACATTACCTCAAAATTGGTTAGGAATACTCAATGAAACCAATCTTGGAGAGACATTTTTTTATTTTACTCTTTGTCTAGTTCTATTTGATTCATAACTAGAAGCCTCACAATTCTCCTTGATCGACCCCGATGATATAACATCTATATATGATATAACATATGTATATTTGTAAAAATATTGTGTGTCGTTTTACAAATTTAAAATTCATCACACAATAGTGACTGGTCAACACCATATGACAAAATTTTAAAACAAATTAAAAATTAAAATTAGAAATTAAAATATATACATACATATAATACAAATATTAAAAATTAAAAATTAACCATATGATATGATTATGGGAATGAATATTGAATACTCTTGGTGATTATGTTAACGAAATTAGATTTTGCAATTATTATATTATATACTTCCGATTTTTGTAAATTGCAATGCAACAAATCACCAACAAAAATGAAATGAAATCTTACAAGCATAGTAAGAGCAGCAAACCACCAACAAAAATGGATGTCTTGTCTTTAATCATTTTTCTTCTTTTTTTTGGGTACTAATGAACAACACATCGATCAGGTGAATTTGGTCTTACGATCACTCACTCGAAGTCACTTAACTATACTGAGGAACTTGCACTTGAAGAGTTGGAGACAACGATTCATGAGCAATCCCGACCGAAATTGTCTGCATCTTGCAGCTATCCAAGATCTTCTCTTTATCGCCTCCGTAGCCAATCTCCTCTATGATCTCTGACAACGTCCTCTCCAATGCTTCACCGTCGGTCCATTCTCGGATGTTGGCTCTTATTAGCATCGGATTCTGACAGAGCAGTGCCCAAACTGGATAACTCTTCCTCGGCATCACGTAATCTTCGTCGCCGAGCTTTAGACTAGGGCAGTAATCGCCTGCCCCGTCTCCGAGGTAGATGATCTTCTTCTTCCCTTCCTTGGTTAGAGAAGCTTGAATCCTCTCAATGATCAAAGCCTGTTTTATTTTTTTAATAATTAAAACATCATGTTAGGAACCAAGGAACACGCAAGAACACGCAAATACCATATACTACAAATTATACCATATACTATATGGTTTACAACACAAACAAAGGAGGTGGGTCCACTAGGAATCAACATAAGACAAGTGTTGACTGATTTGATCGCCGTCTCACCATAGAACAATATATATATAAAATATTCCCAAAACACTTGGAACAAATTGAATTTTAAACCCTATCTTTTAATATATTTTTCTAAATCCATTGAGAGAGGAAGATCTCTTGAGAAAAACAAATTGTACCTTGCACATGTTGGGAGGACAACGAGAGCAGCCATGTGAGGATTCGGTGAAATCGTGGTAAGGTGAGATTCTCAATCTGCCATGTTGGTCGACGAATCCAGGATTCGTGTTGATCTCAGAGAAAAGGTCTTTAATCTCGAGGTGTTCGAGAATCGTCTCAATGAAAAACGTGTTCGCGTCGCTCACTATCCTCAACTCGCATCTGGAACCAGACCCAAAAATCTCGGATCAGTAATCAGCGGTCGGCGTTGTCTAAGGAACAGGAGACCAGAATCCGACGATTAATAATAGTAACGACGAGAGTTACCCAAGTGCATGCGCTGATCTGAGGGCAGGGACGACTCGGGGATGAATCGGAATCGTTTCGAGGACTCGTTTAATGTCATGGATTGTTATGCCTTGTTCATGGAGCTCCTTCATCATCCGGTCCTGTTCATGTCAATAAACCAAAAGGGTCATCCACAATTTGTTCGTGGGTTTGGTCAAATTCACGACAATCTTTTCAGATTCATAAGCTTAAAGAAACCCGGAAACCGAATCAGAAAAAAGAGTATGAAGAAGAAGAAGGGACGAACCATGAGAGAGTTCCAAGGCATGGTTGGGAGAAGCTGATTGAACAAATCAGTGAAACCCAATTCATCGACGACCCAGTTGTCGCTGTCGACGTCGATGATTGTCTTGTCGAAGTCGAAGATCGCCACAATGTTGTTCTTCCTATTGTTGATTCCAGCCATTTTTTCCCGAGAAAGAACAGGAAAAACCTGGGATTTCTTCTTTCTGGAGGGTTGGATTGCTTGTGGGTTGGATTTAATTACAGTGCAGAGGAACCGGGTATTTATACAAACGGAGGATTATGGGATTTTGATATTGATGCCAATGGAATATTACTCTGGCCTTTTCTTTTTAATCAAGAATCTTTATTCCTTTCTGGTTCCGTTTTCGTCCAGTGATCTGTAAACCGTTGGATTTGATTCTGGGGGTACGATCGTACGGTTGTGGCTGATACGTGGGTTTTGATTTGCCTTTGTGGGTGGGATTCAAAGAGGAGGAGCAGACGCGGGAATATAAGAAGAATATCCGGGAAAACCTGTAATCATATTCCGTTTTGGGTTCTATATTTATTTTATTTACGTTACCTACGAAAAAAAAAATGAAATACAAACGTGATAAAGCCATTATATTTATACCTAAATAATTATATACAGTATAAAACACATTTTTTTAAAACAAATTAATTGAATTATAATTTATAAATATCTAAAAACTTAAATATCAAAATGATTTTAAGATTTTTTTTAATAAGAACCGTATCCAATTAATTCTAAAGAGATACATATCCGAAATAAAATATGAAATATTTACCTTAATCCGAACGTATTAGTTGAAACAATTCAAATTTATTATTAATATTACTAATGCATGTACTTAACCGTCTTGCCACTATAATGATTCTTTCCAACAATTGCGTCATTTCATCAAAAAATTCTTTCTCGTTTCTTTATTTTTTTTAATAACAAGCTTCCTACATTTTTTTTCTTTTTTGTTTGTAAAGAGTGTATTTCATTAACTAAACCTATACAAAAGTAGTTCGTATATACATGAGTTCACTATTATTTCATGAATTGTGTCACGTAATAGTATTTGTGAACGAAAGACTTAATACTATTATGATGTCGTGAGTTAGTATCGCTGGATGAATGAGTTACCATTATGCGGGTTGTATGTCCAGTACCGGTGGACAAACAAGTCAATACTGTGTATTGGTGGGGGTGAGTATCATACTAGTGCCGGTGGACGAATGAGTCAGTACCATATAATATTGTGGTTCACATAGTGGATATTGGTTGACGAAAGAGTCAGTATCGCTATGTTGGTCAGGAATACAGTGAATCGCGTAGTCAGTATCGTTTGACGATAGAGTCAATATTTGTTACTGAGTACCGATGAGCCACGTAGACAGTACCGGTGACGACCGAGTCAGTACTGTTACGTTGGTGAGGACTTGTATTTGTATTGGTGACAACTGAGCTAGTACCACACCGCTGGAGTTATCTAACTCTTTATGTGAACAATACCGGTTGATGGAAGTTAGTATTGTTGCGTTGACAAGGACTAAACGGCTTAGTTGTCATATGGAAACGGGATCTTCGGATTCAACCCGAGTCATTCACTAAACTGTGTTTAGCCCTCTATTGATGAATTTTTCAGATCCCGAATAGCATGAGTAACAACTTTGAAGAAAACTCGAGAATACCAGCCTTATATACGAGTGTTATTTTATATTTGGACTCGGGACGATGATCTCATATTTATCGATTATGTTTAATTATGATCTCGAACATGTATGGTTTTAAATAACAATTGTTATGTTTTATTTCGCAAAAAGTTTTAAAAATTCCCATGTATATTTTCGTTTCCGCTTTATTAATTTATTATTTATCGTCTACATGGCACAACCTTTATACAAGATATGGATTACAGTGTCACAATGATCATCCACATTGAATTGAGTTAGAGGCGCTATAACCAAAGTGATAACAACTCAAGTATTGTTCATTTATTTCACGATATCATATATTGGAAAAGGACATGGATTAAGACACCATTTAAGTTCAATTGTTTTTTCATCCAGTAAATCGATTAACAAGATAAATGAACTATTCATCTATACCACGACCATGTATTTTCATCGTCCGAATTTCACGAATAGCCAAACGATATCTCTCCTGTTAAGGAGATGATAAATCTCGTTTTGACTGTCTATTATGTCCATATAACTCATAAACATATATGAGTAACGTCATTATGATAATCTGATTAAAGAAGATGTTAAATGCAGTTAAGATACGCTACTCCTTATGTCTGATACTCTAAACATCTCAGGTCCGAAGTTTCAAGAATGAATTGTTACATGATATTGAAGTCTTAATTCAAGTCCATGTGACGATCTTTGCGGACCATCTAATCACTCATTCCAAATCAGTACCTATGATTGTGATTCACATCCAATGCACATGATCATCAATCACGCCTCCTATTAGTTTAAATTTATCATCGCTCCCACGATGACAACCGACTAAGGAATTTAAAATCATCCTATAGTTATTCAAGAAAACTAACATATAACAAACATGCAAATCATATAACGAAAAAAGTAATGAATTCATATAAATGAATCAATACATAGTATGAAAGGCATATCCTAGATTATCATAGAGCATCATAACCAACAATTTTCTGCTGTGCTCTATGATCAATCCTACAATCATCTAGTCTCCATACCTTTAACATGATCTCATGTTTTGACGAAGGGGATGGTTTCGTCAATGGGTCACTGATATTATCATTTATCGACATGTTGCTTATCGTCATGTCTCTTCTTCTATGATTTTTCCGATCATATGAAATCCTTGGAGTATGTGTTTGGATCTCTGGTGTGATCGAAGTTTCTTTGCCTGTGCAATTGCACCATTGTTGTTATAGTATAACTCAATGGGATTCGTAATGATAGGAATGACCCCCAGGTTTTTAACGAATTTCCTATCCAAATGGCTTCCTGAGTTACGTTTGATGCGACTATATACTCGGTCTATGTAGTCGAATCTACGACGGTTGACTATTTGGAACTCTTTCAACTAATACCCCTATTATTCAAGCACAAAAATATGATAAACTCACGTGAGTCATCTAGTCACTCATTCCAAACAAGTACTCATGATTGTGATTCACATCTAATGCACATGATCATCTCTATGATCATAATCACACCTCATTCTAGTCTTAATTCATCACCACTTCCATGATGATAGCTGACCATAAAGTTTAGAATCATCCTATAATGACTCGGAGATACCAATATATAACAAACATGCAAATATTGTATTCATAATGCATTCATATATCAATCATTGTAGGAGAAATGCATGCATTCATATGAATGCATTACTTTTTTCGTTATATGATTTGTATGTTTGTTATATACCGATATCTTTTAATCATTGTAGGATAACTCTAAATTCTTTGGTCGATCGATATCGTGGGAGCAATGATGAATTAAGATTAACGTGAGGTGTGATTGATGCTCATAGAGATCATAATCATGCGCATTATGTACGAATCACAATCATGAATACTCGTTCGGAACGAGTGACTAGATGACCCGCTTGAGATTGTCACTTGGACAGGAGCCAGAACTTGAATCTCATGTAATGGTTCTTCATTGGATCCTTATACTTGAGATGTCTAGATTATCCTATATGAGAAGTAGTGTATCATGAATGTGTCAAATATCGTCTTTAATTAATCGGGTGATCATACTAGAGTACTTATTCATATACCTTTACGAGTCATGTGGAGATAATATATCTTCAGTCAACATGGAGTAATGGAGTGCTACTATGTTTGCAAGACAGTTTTAAGTATGTCTTTCTAACTTAAATACCTCTTCTTCTTCTTTTTTCTATCTATGCACACAGAGGAGAGAAGCTAACTCAAGATTTAGATGATGAAGATGGTGAAGTTTGTACACTAGGAATATCCAAGAAACACACGAAGAAGAAGGGCAATGCCAAAGTTATTTTTAAATCTGAGTCAATTTCATTTAAGTCGTCTAACTTTTGACTTACTACTTTTTAGTATTTCAGTTTGAATTTTCATTTGGTTGAAGTTTGATGACTATTTGAAATTTGGTAATCTTATTGACTCTAGTGTTTTTTTTTTGTATGTAAGGAGTGTTGCCTTGTTTGGTTTGGATTTTATATCATATTTTGAGTGAGTATTGTATATGAGGTGAAATAATCGAAAATGGGGAGATTGTTAGTGAACATGTGGTAGTGAATTTGTTAGTGTTTGTTGGTTGCAGGTGTAATAATCACATGAGATTTCAGGAACGTGGATACAGGGGCGAACAACAAGTTTAGGTGAGAATATGAGAAGATTTAAGGAATATGAAGAGAGACAACACGAAACATAATACAGAGAATATATGAGTTTAAGTAAAAAGTATGGTATGTAATTGAGGGGAGACCATTTGAGACATTCTCTTTATGTTAGAGAGTGTCTATTTGAATGTACTTCTAACGAAAAATGAATTATATTTAATAGTTTTTTCGAATGAATAGAACTAATTGTGCGACATATTTGTGAGGGTCTAAACTTTTTTTCTAAAGAATATTGGTTTTATTATTAAAAAAAATTAAACATCTTGTGAGAAAAATCTAAACATATTTCACAAATAATAATAATAATAATAATAATAATAATAATAATAATAATAATAATAATAATAATAATAATAATAATAATAATAATAATAATAATAATAATAATAATAATAATAATAATAATGGGATTTCATCCCAAGGGCACTCACGAAAACACGAGGAAGGATCGTAAGGAACTTAAAAAAGAATATCCCAAAATCTTAGCCGACTACAACTTTTTGTTTTAAAAAATTAGATTGGCATATATTTTTTTGTTTGAGAAAATTAAAATTTATATAAAAATACCTTTAGAATATTTTTAATCGTGGCCTAACAAGTTTGACGAATGGTCACGTGATACGTTGTTCACATACAACCATTAACGTAAGTTCTCTTGTTATTTGTTTTCTTTTTTTTCCCTAAATTTCTTTGTTTTTTTTATAACGGAGGACTCCTAGCTGCTACCTTTCGGACGCGTTGACTAGGTAAACCTCCGGCCCTGGAGCAGCCTTTGTATATGGATCATATAAATCCAGAAATTACTTCCCTCCCAACCAGCCAGGAATCGAATATTCAACCTTAAGGTGGAGTTACCTCCTATCCCAAACTTGACCACTTGCCCACGATCTGTTGGGTTTCTTTGTTATATATATATATATATATAT